AAGGTGATGTGTGCGTTTGCACACATACACATGTACTTGTGGGCACGTGCGGAGACCCACAGAGCAGAGGGGAGCCCACACTTCAGGATGGGTGCTCTGCAGTGGGTGCTGCGGCTTGCACGTGTGCTCCCTGAGGCCCTGTGCTGCTGCAGGTCAGGGGTGCGGGGGCTCCTTTTCTAGACAGGATCCATTCATGTTAGGCTCCTTCCTACCCTCCAGAGCCCCAGCCCCTGACCTAGTCTCAGCTGAACAGCGCGAACACGGCCATTTCCACCCACCGTGTGGGTGAGAGCCAGGCAGGAAGGAGCAGTCACCTAGCATGTCCAAGCCTGGGAGTTCCGAGATGGAGCTGATCCCTGGCTTCGAGCCCAGCCGACTGCAGGCGTTTTTTCAGCTACATACAATTTTCATCACATTTCAGAATTCCAGGGCATCAGGCTCCCTGTTCTAAAACATCTGCGCGATGCCGGCAGCCTGGCTTGAGCAAACCGATCGTGCCCTTTGAGAATAAAGGTATGCATGGCTGCATAAGCAATCCCGGGACACTGATTTGTTAACATACTGAGCCAGGAGAGCATACAAAGAGAGACAGACCCTCGCTCTTTTACACACATGCAAAGTTGCACACACACACACACACGTGCAAACGCGCACACTCCAGCACACATGCACACACACACACACACACACACACATGCACTCACTCATCTCACCACTATAATCATAATTACTACGCTGGCTCCAGATCAGGGCTTAGCAGCCTTGGCACAGAGACGTCTGAAGGCACCCAAGGTAATTAGTGGTGTCCCATCACACCCCCATCACCTAGGTGGGGTCACTGCACGTGCTGTTCCCCCTCTTGGCACCCCCACCCCCACACTTGTATGTCCCCCTCCCCACTGCATGTTGAATTCAACTCAAATGTCCCCTTCCTTAGAGAGGCCAGGCCCGGCCACCCCCATCCCTGCCTGTCTGCTCGCCCGGATGTGTTTTCCTTCAGAGGACATTGCTGCCCTGGGGATGCTGCTGTTTATCAATCATCTGTCATCTGCACAGGAGCCCTGGTGGTGTAGTGGCTATGTACTGGGTTGTGAGCTGAAAGGTCCAGAGTTCGAAACCACCAGCTGCTCTGGTGCCAGAGGACTTTCTACTCCCATGAAGAGTGACAGTCTCAGAAACTCGCAGGGGCAGTTCCACCCTGTCCTGTCGCATCTCCAGGAGCTGGCGTTTGGCTTTGGGTTTGGGTATTATCTGGATAAGAATCCCTGGTGGTGTGTTAAGCCCTCGGCTGCTAACCAAATGGTTGTGGGTTCAACCCCACCAGCCGCTTCATGGGAGAAAGAGGCAGCAGGCTGCTTCCCTAAAGGTGACAGCATTTCCACTCTGTCCTGCAGGGTCAGTATGAGGCCAAATGGACTATTGTCTGCAGGTAATAGGGGCTGCCCTGGTAAGCAGTAACAGACAAGGGCCCCTGCTTTCCTGGGGCTTAAAGAAAGGCCAACGGTTGGAAACCACCAGTCTGCTCTGCAGGAGGAAGACAGGACTTTCTACATCTATAAAGAGTTACAGTCTTGGAAACTCACGGGCAGTTCTACCCTGTCCGATAGAGTCGCTATGAGTCGGAATCAACTCGATGGCAGTCAGTTTGTGGTTGTTGTTGTTTTGAGTGAGAATGTCTGGAATGGAGGTGTGAGTAATCAGATATTTACAGGAATGAACACACAATTACATGACTCCCGAGCTAAGCTCTCTGGAGAAGAGAAAGGTTGCTTATGGAAGATAAAGCTAAGGGCTCCGGACTCAGCTGGGTGGTCAGGGAGGTCTTAGGTCTGAAGAGGCCTGGACTAGGCTCCTAGAGGGCAGCTCAGGCAGTGGCCAGAGCTGAGAAACGAGTGTGTGTCCGGGCCCCACCTGGTTTATAGGAAGGGGCATTGCTTGATAGCAGGGAGGTAGTATAAGTTAGTGTCCAAACCAGTGCCTGCCTAAGCATGAAAGTGGGTACTATAAGGATTACGCTGACCCCTAGGTGTGCCCCTGGGCCACCCTGGGTGAACTGGGCACTTACTCATGCTGATTAAGAGGAACAGCCCCTTGGCCTCTTGTCCCTCTAGCCTCAAAGGGGATGGCAGCTACTGATCCAAGCAGCCAGAGATATGAGTCCCTCACCTGCCCTTGGACAAGGGAGAAGCTGCAGTGGGGCTGGCATGGGAAGGGATGCACAGGCCCAGGGCTGGAGGATCTAGGAATGAGGGCAGGGAGCACAGGCCTGTGGTGGCCAACAGACCAGAGGCAGGCAGGCAGGCACGGCCCCAGCTTTCAGCTTTTGTGACCTTGAGCTTGGCTTAAAGCCAGGTGGCTTTTTCAAGCTGTTGGTCTTCCACAGCTGTTCAGAGAAGCGGGAGATTCTGGGGGCTTGGGGACCCCTGGGGGCTCAGTGGTTACACTTTGAACCGTGACCCTGAAGGCCAGCAGCTCAAAACCAGCAGCCACTCCTTTGGAGCAAGATGGGCTTTCGACTCCCCTGAGAGAGGCACCAGGGGTCAGCATCAACTCAGTAAGGTGTTTTTTAAGCAGCCCATGAATCAGGATTGGCTGTGAATTTGGTTTGTTTTTGAGCTTTCTCTTCCTTTACCTGTTTGTACAAAGATGGATTGACACGGACTATAAGTCAGGCCGTATGGACTGTATCTTGGAAGAAGAATCCCAGCCAGAGTGCTCCTTAGAGGCAAGGATGGAGGTGAGACTTTGTCTCACGTACTTTGGACGTGCTGTCAGGAGAGACCAGTCCCCGGAGAAGGACACCAGACTTGGTGAGGTAGAGGAAGGGCTTGGACAAGATGGACTGGCACCGTGGCTTCCTTGGTGGTCTCAAGCATGGTGAGGAGGGCGCCGGCCAGGGCAGTGTTTTGTTCTGTTGTACAGAGGGTGTCCCTAGGAGTAGCACCTGGCTAGACAGTCCCTGACAACAACATAGACTGTATATGGTACAAATCCTTTGGCTGCTAATCAGAAGGTCCGCGGTTCGAACCCACCAGCTGCTCGGCTCAAAAGAAGCTGTGGCCATTTGCTTCTGTGATGATGGGAGCCTGGGGAGCCCCATGCGTCGGTTTTACTCCATTCTCTAGCGTCTCTGGGAGTCAGGGTTGACTTGGCAGCAAAGGTTTTGTTTGGAGTGTGTGTGTGTGTGTGTGTGTGTGTGTGTGTGTGTGTGTGTGTGAGAGAGAGAGAGAGAGAGAGAGAGAGAGATCTGCCCCTTTGTCCGAATCTCAGCTTATTAACACAAGCCCACGTCTGGCCGTGCCCCAAGTCACGAGCTCCCCGCGCAGCAGACTGCTACCCTCCCAGCCCAGCCTGTTGTCTGTCCCATTTCGATTGGCGCCAGGCTCACAGACCCCATGTAGGTAGAATATAACTTTCCATAAATA